CCAGTCCTTGGATTACATTATTGTAACACATGATACAAAGAAACAATTATACGCCTGCGGCATGGTGACCCAATGCCATATATATTCACCACCGAGTTTTCTATTTTGGCTATTTTTCTATGGTTTCTGTTTCTTTGTTTTATAAAGCTTGCACTGATTGCATAGACATTTCATTTATTATAATCCAACATGCTACTGGAGAGAGCTAAACCAACAATTTATTTTTTTTTTGCTTTCCCTTAACCATCAGCTAATTTAAAAAATGATTGCACAAATACTTAGACCTGGTGGAGTCAGCGGAATGATTAAAAAAGACTGTAACTATAACTAACTATATCTACAAAATAGTGCAACATGTTCTGGCTTGAGCCCACATCAAAGTATTTTAAATTTTCAGATCACTGGAAAGTAACAGGGCACTTTTTCAGCTAGTATTTAGAGGTCACTAGTAGTCTACATAAAGCCAAGAAGTTTTGTCCACGCAAAGCTGTACATACAGCTGGAGTTGCACCTACAGAATTTACTTTTCCTTCCAAAGAAATGCTATTGATAAAACCCGCATAATTTTAAGAAAGATTGCAAAATGGCTGTTAACATTTGCAAATCATGCCAAGAAACCATCCCTCAGCACCTCCCTCTTCCTATCTCTTCTTCACTATTATCAAGACACTAACCATATCTTTATTTTCACAGACAAATGAAAAAACAGTTGCCTATGGCATGTGTCATGTCCTACAAGACTGACCTATAATTTGGAGAAGTTAAATGATGAACAGAACTTCATTATCCTTTCAGAAAACATTGTAATTAAATTGTCATATCTTCCATAAAAATTAATAAGAATCAAGAAACCAAACCCATTATACTGAACCCTGCACTTCTGAAACAACTGCAATAACATATTTCAGGTGAACTGGTTCCATTTTTATGTCACCACTGCACTTAAGTTTTATGTGCTTTGTCAATGGAATTTGAAGACTATGCATATTCTACAGAATAACCCATGAAGAGACACAGAATATAAAGCTTCCCTGGAATCAAGAAGAAAATAACATTACGCAAGCCCCATTATCATTTAGTATTGATTTCCCTAGCATAGGAAGGGAAAGTATGTATGAAGTATTTTGTAAACTACAAACATATGATCTAAGACCAAAACATCAAGCTTTTCCCCCTTATAATTAAAAAAAGGCAAGTTATTAAACAATATCCATCTGACTACTATCCCCCAAATCATTGAAGATATTTTCAAATTAGCAACCCCCACTTTACAGTAGTATTCAGTTTTTTTAACTGGCATTCAGCCATGTATGTTTCCCTGACAAGCTTTCTAAACACCTTGTGGATAAAATAATAAGGAAGCAAAACTTGCAATTAGAGAAACAAAATAACAGCAACAACTAAACTCCTGAACTGTTTTACCCCATAGTAAACACATCTAAGAATTCGCAAATGTGGTATTTGTTATAATTTAGGTTATATTAAGTAAAGGCGCTTATTCTTATCTTCTTCACCAGTTTCTAGCAGTGTACTTGCTCCTGGGCTTAGTATAATAACAGCATCACATGGGAGTGTGCAGGCATTCTGGCAATCGGGGATTTTAATTCAGACTACAGCATTTTATAGCTGTGCATGCATCTGCACTTGCTTCTTTCCCTTAATATTGCATGTATTCAGAATAGTTAAAGAAGTTTGAAAATAGGTTAAAGGGCCTCAGGAGCAGGGTAGGCGGTAGCCATGGACGAATCAATTTAATGTCACTATGGTATGCACTGTGTTATCCAATTCAGTGAACCATTTCACCTCACCAATTGACCAAGAACCTGCTGCCAGGGCCCCTGCTTCCACTCAAGAGGCCTCTGTCACCTTTTGCATATATATTTATCAATACATCCTATTTGCAAAATATTGTAATTCCCCGTCTTTCTTCGTATCACCACTAAAACGTCACCATAAAAGAAGTCTCTATCAGAAGAAACTGTGATTAAGTTATGATTTGGCTTTTCAGGAATGTTTTTTGTTACCAACCAACTGGAGCATCTGGCTAAAGTGTTGCATTAGAATATATATGTGCCAGCCGGGGTGTGCCTGGACTTAAACAGGAGGGTGGTATTTATTCAGTTCTTTTAACTATTTATTCATTCCCTGTCAGTCATTCTTACCAGGAGAACAGATCACGCCCTGCTCTGAAATGCCTTCCCTCTTAAGGGATTTACACCAAAATGGAAATGGTCAGCAACCTCAGAGCTCACAAATGATACCACATGGCACCATCCACATGCATTATGGTATATTGTATTAACCCCTTTGTCCAAAATCCTTCAACTCTTTGCTCCTCTCTGCTGTGTATTACTTAGGTTACAACATAATGAAACCTGATAGCATATGATATGCACACACAACCTTATACATCCGCATCTCTCTCTCTCTAAATATATAGAACAATACACCAGCTGGCTCCTGCCAAAAAAATAGCAAATTCTCATTTCAGTATCTTCTCACAAACTCTAGATTAGTACAGCCATAACAAGTATTTCTTCACTTCAGAAGCACTATCACAAGAATATATGTTAGCTTCAACACAACGTAAAAGTTTATATGTAAATTACATAATGAGATGAATAAACCACAAAATGTCCTTGAAAGTGCAATTACAGTAGAAGTAGCCTTACAAAAAGCAACAGCAAGAAGGATCTGTTAAAATAGGACTGTTTTTCACAGTAGGCTCCCATGATTTACTAGGTAGCTTCAGGCTCAAAAAATAATGCAACAGGGTAAATAAAGAGATGGCAATTATCTTAACAGGGAATCCTTTCTTCACTACGGCACTGACAGGAAGGTAATTCAGGGTGATTTTTTGATTTAAAAAAGACAAACATTTTAATAAAGGAAGACTTCAAGGAACTTATGTAGCATTGTATTTCAACATTCTCAAGAAAACAGTTACATTCATACCTACTAACAAAGAAAGAAGAGAGCATATAGCAAGGTTAAAAAACACTTCCAAATTCTCCTTCACTACGGCATGAAACTATACATATCTAAGGAAACATGAGCAAGCAAAAAGCAGAGATTCCAAATTCATTAGAAATACTCAATTTCACAACTAAATGCAAATGCAAAATAAAACACACTTTAGTTTTCAGGTTTTTCGCTTGTACCAGCGGTCATCTCTTACTTAGGATGCACATCCTAGCTCTATCCCTTTTAAAACGACAATACTCCTGCTTTGCAAATTTGTTTGCCACAATAACAAGCTGAGCTAAGTAGTAAGGAGGGTTAACACAACTGCTTGCTTCTTCATGCTGCTTTATAATACGATTTAGATGATAATCCAATATTTATGACAAGTAAAGAATAATTTGTGTGGCTCCACACTGTTATCTGTTGAGAAAAAAAGCTTTCAAATTTCCCTGATGACTGACTTTTTCTTGGGAGGGGGAGAGGAGGGGTTAACATCTAAAGGGATAGTAAAGGAAAGAAAGGGGGTATAGTCAGAGGAAGACTAAAATAATCCACTCTACACCAACTCCTCTTTTGTTTTTCCTTTTTGAATGCTATCACACAACAAAAAGCTGCATCTTGGCTAACAATACTCCATCTAGCAGTGTTAATGCTTTGAAAAACAGCATGGTATTTCAACAGCATGTGCAAATGAGATGTTTTTACAATACACTGAATGCCAACTAGGCAGTTAAAGCATAAAGGAAATGTTTAAAATTGTACCTAAATGTGCTGTCCTGTCTTTTTTAGTAATTACTTTCACAACATACCTAAAGAAATGCCAGTTCTTGCAGACAGAACATGCAGTAGATTGCATTTTCTACCCTATTTTGTTGTAAGGGAGGTTAAGCTATCCATGACATAAAAGAAATATGGATCTGAGACAAAACTAGGATGTTTTACTCTTCAAAGTCTTCAGTGACTTGCCTTGAAAATCAGGCCATGGGGCAGTACAAGAGAACACTTTTTGCTGGTGTATGTGAACACCTAGAAAAACTCAAGGAAGCGTGTCTTTGCACACGCACCACCTGGGGCAAGAGAGAAGCACCTCCAACACCTCTGCAGAGCTGAAAGTCTTCCAGACTGTTGAGGATCTGCTAATTTCGAATTGCCTTTGAGATAAATACAAGTATATTTTACTGGATTACTTAAATATTCCTGCAACCAAATCTTGGATATCAAATCTGTCACAGCAGCGCTACAAAGACTGACAGGATCACAGGTGATTGCTGTTGAACAAGCACCTCTCACATCACTATATTGTAAAAGGATCACTTATCACTTTTGCTTAACACAGGTATAATGCAAAAATCCTTCTTACTGAGAAACCTACACTTAAAAAACAGTTTCCCTATTTTT